TCGGTGCCGCTGCGATCGTGTAGCCCGAAATTCAATGGCGATACTGCGTCACGTAGGGGTGTTCGCAATTGTCGGGCCAATGACTACCAGCCGTCTGAAAGTATCCCCTTTGAGATGCCCCGTGCCCGCGAGTTGGGTTTGAGAAGGGCCGTCAGTGAGGACACCAACAAAACATCTTTTATGACAATCGGGACTTCTGCTTTCGCCAGTCTTCGCGCCACTTCGTGTAAAGAGTCGAAGGCCGCGTCGTCCTCCAGACATGCTTCGTAATATTCGTATCGGCTACCCCATAAGCCACCACTCACACCCCGTCTGGATTCGCGGAGAACTTGCGCAAAAACTCTTTTATATCTAATTCAACTGGTTCAGTGTGGAAGTCCTCGAGGTTTGTAGGGGGATCTTCAGCTGGTTTTGCTGGTCGTAACAATGGGTTCACCAACTCGTCGTACGTAGCCCGTGTGCCTGGGGCAAACCCTTTGGAGGTTAGCAGGCGGGCCGCGTGGCTGAGTTCTCCTTTCTGAATTAGAGAAATCGCTGCGTTGGTCTTAGCCTCGTCGTTTCCAGTGTCGGTCTTCGTGCGGCTGGCATTGCGCGCCTGTGGTTTGGTTGCTTTTTGCTGTGCTCGGTCCAGCAACTGCCCCCATTCGCCGGAATCGAAGAGGGCAACACGTCTTCGGAGATGCCGTTCTCCCGCTTTCCCTCCGTGTGTGGTTGGGTGCAGGAGCATGCGAAGGAGGAGAAAACATAAGATCCACGCCCGGATGCAATCTCCTTCGGCATTGTCATTTCTGTCCCAAGACAAATGTGCCCGCTCCACTTCAGCTAAACATTGAGTTAAGATGCGCAGAAATGGGCCCCTGATGCATTTTGGGATCGATTTGAGTGTCTTCACCTGCGCATCGATTTCCTTTTTGATGTCCACAACGTCGATGTGTCTCCATCCGTTCGGCACTCGAGCAATGCTTGGGCGTTCCCCCCCTTGTGCGTGGCTGCTTGTGAGGGCTCGCCTCGAGGTGCTGGAGCTGCCTCTCCAGGGATCGCGGATTCTCTGGGGAGTGGTGGCGTGCCCTTGGTTGGATACTTGGGAGAGAAAGTGTCGCAGATCTGGCGCCTTGTACATGCCCACTGTTATCGCAAAATATACCGTTTCCATCCTCCTTGCCATAGCAATCGACGCGGCTATATTGTCCATCAGTCGTTCTTGCAATTCTCCTGGAAAATGTTCGTTTACAGCGTGTCGTGCCCCGTTCGCTTGGAGCCATAGAACCAACCCGTCTGCATTTGCAATCCTCATTTGCCGCATACCAAACCGTATGTGGGTGAATGCATCCCGTATGGTCTGAACGGACACAAGCGTGTGGAAAGTCGGGAACTCGTCCATGCAGAATTGCACCATTGATTCCATCCATCCGAGTAGTTCTGAATTATCGTTGGTCTTGGCTGCCATCCAAAATATCGGTATGTTGAATGATGACCATCTGTGTCGCAGAACATAGTCGTCGATTGTTGCGTCACTTGCCCCAAGAGGTATCGAATCTACCAATCGCAAAAAATGGATCGCCGCCTCGCGGGCTTCTGGTGGAGGGCGGGTTGGTTCGAAATCGATGCCATCATCATCGATATCGCTCATGCCCCCCACGTCGCACGCTAGTGGCGCCGCCGGCCCCAGGGGATCATCGCCAGGTGGTGGTTGGGGGGCCCCCCGTCGGTCGTCGTTATTTGGTGCAAAGGGGGCTGGAAGCCGCGGATCTTCATGCAGATCTGAACCGTGATTCTGTACAGCCCCTGAGAGATACCGTCGTACATTTGGGTGGTCGTGTAAGCAGCGTGCCACAGCAACAAAGGCGGTTGGGACCATTGGGATGGTGATGGATGCTGATTGGGCTATTCATCGGCACATTACTAACCACAATAGAACTCTTGCTATACATGATATGTTCGCGGAATGGTGGAATATTCCGGGTCACGATAACCACGCGATTTTTTTCTTCAAACTCAGCAGAACCCGCAGACCAAAATACGAATCGCAACACTCATGTACATCGAATAGCACGGGCAGGCCGGACTACGTTTCATGGCTGTTCGGGCGAACCTCTCGGAGACGGACTTCTTATACAATTTGGTGGGGTGCGAACGAGCGGTTCGACCACCTCCAGGGCTCCCACCGCGCGTATAATGCACCCGGATGGCGACCCTTACGGCCGCCCCGAAGGCACGTCCGACGGAGGCGGCCCGTACGACAACTCGGATACCACTTACAATCACGGCTAAAGCGATTTAGAAATATGCCGGCGCTACGGGTACGACCACGGTTTCGAGATACATAAACCCGTTTGGTATTGTACACGGCGACGGGACTACTACGAGGGTTTGGGAAGGGACACCTGTTGGCGGCTCACGGTATAACGATTACGTGCCACTTTGGTGTGTACTCCGGTACGGGAGACGAAATCTATAAGTAATGCTTGCCACACGTACTTGCATTTACGCTCTCTCCCGCCCTCGTTTCCCCGCTCCCCCCGCCCTCCCCCGAGACGGAAACAGACAGCAGTTCTCCAAAGAGAGGGCTCCCATAGCAGAAGCAATGCGATCTCCTAGTTACCATAGATGTCTCAGAGATTTTGGATACTTGGTTGGGGTTCCTGCGGGCCTGGGCCCATCCTTATGCCAATCGAATCCAAAACCTATTGGTTGGCGAACTTCCGACTCCAGCTCCCGACTCCATTCTTCCGCCCGCCCCTCTTTCCCCCGAGCCGGAGTCAAACAACAAGCCCCACATGAGCCCCCATAACAAAGCCAATAAGATCTCCCGCGGCATCCATGCTACAATTACTGATTGCAGGCCCAATAGGAGAAGGCTGTGCGACAACTTCCACAATAGATCCGACCGACGCCCGAACGCACAAGTTCCGACGAATTTAGGACCGAGCGTCCACGCTGCTTTTGACGATATCGGCATCCAGTTCCGCGCTGACGCCCACGCCTGCGCCTATGGCAAAGACGGGTGCGATGTTTGCCTCCAGAAGGCCGCCGCCCGCGTTTGCGCCAGCAACACGACCATCCACCCCAGCTCCGACGACAATCTCATATACGGTGCTATTGACGCCCACGGTGGCGCTTACGACGGCACCATATCGACCACTCTGGCGGTATACGATTGGTGGGTATACGACGTCCCGACAACACTACCGATTTTCGGTTACCGGGTGTTTTACGTCTGCGATGGGCATGGTAACATACGCTGTGTGTGCAAACGCATGACAATCAATACCAAGATGCCATTACACAGGACAAGACACGACGTAACTCGGTCGAAGTATGAGGCTGCACGTATTCGGTATGCATTCGAACGCAAATTACCATATAGATGTTCACCATTATGGGGACAACGAATTAGGGAAGTTCGGAACCCAAGACCTGTGTTACGACAACTGATATCGAAAACACTGTTATTGGGACACATCTTGCCCTACGCATATTCGCCGTGTAACGGTATTCGTATTGGGGAAGTTGCACACCCGGGACAATCTCAGGAAGAAACTATGGCGGCCTTGCGAGTGCTCGGACTTTCAGCGCCTTTGGAATCGAACAGGGGAAGATATTCTGGGAGGATACACGGACCATACGTAGGGCCTCCGACGACACCGGTACGATACCAACCACGACAACGACAACCACTACAACAACAACGACCACCTACTACGGTTCCATCCAGTGCGCCCCCTGCCCCAGCCGTTGTCAATCCAACGCCGTACCTTTTCGAATATCCCATTCCCATTCCTTCTCCCCTCTACCCTCCAGCCGCCCACGTTGCGCCACCGATCCTGAATCCAACACCGATCCAAGCGTTCAATGCGTCTTCAAATGCTGAGGCCAGGTTATCGGAGCCGCTGTCACCAGGCAAGGCCGAATATGAACCTCCACTCGTATCTCAGACCCTGGTCCAAGACCTTGGACCCGCCATAAGGTCACAAGGGGTTAACCTTGCATCTGCAGCCCCTCCTATACCACCAACTGAAGATAGCGAGGAGTTCAACACCCCATGTTCTACGCCTCGGAATCTGTCCGGCCCCCTTCCCCCAACTGCCACCAGAATGAACGCACCACACCCCCAAGCTTAAGCTAACTCTTTGTGCCCACCGGCTCACGCAGACTTCCTTACGCCTCCCACGCCAGCTAATCCCACCAGCCCTCTGGGCGTCGGTGGTTTAACGAGTTTCCTCTTCCACCCCTCCTTCTTCCCCTTCGGGGAGGGGTTTACCCCTCCCCCTACCCCCTCCCCACTGACCTGGACAGGGGGGGCCGCGGGTAGTTAGAGCGTCCAAGAACGACCCCTGGGAGGGCTAAAATTCGACACCCCTCACGAGGATCGTGGCTCCTGAGGGGGGGGCTGAAATTTAGGAACCCCTCTTCTTTGATCGATTTCCTCCACGATGGCCGCAAGAGGCCCCCAGGATGCCCCAAGAGGCCGCAGGATGGCCCCAAGATGGCCCCAAGAGGCCCCCCAAGAGGCCCCCAGGACCCCAAGAGGCCCCAAGAGACCCCCCAGAGGCACCCAAGGTGCTCCCAGAGGCCCCAAGATGGCCCCAAGAGGCCCCAAGAGGCCCCCAGGAGGCCCCAAAGAGGATTCCGAACGGCTCACAGAGGCCCCCCCGAGGCACCCAAGACGCCGAAAAGCCCCTCAGGACGACCCTCTACTCGCCTGGGCGTCGTTTCTGGACGGGCTGGTGGGGATACGCGAAGCGTCTAGAATTTCTCCTTGGTCGGATTTGTTCAAGAACATGTGGGTGAACATTGCTCGGACCCATACGCGTCTAAGCCTGGTTATCCGAGCTACCTAGAAGACCGAGCAGCATCCGTGCGGTCAGCGTGACTCAGCCATTTCAAGGCCCCCTAGATTGAGGATGACCAGCGAAGAGTGCAAATTGTGAGCCCTGGCTGGAGCAGGAGGAACACGAACAGCAGGAAGAGGATGATGCGGATCAAGAGGCGATTGAATTCGGAGAAGTTTGGGCGCCTCCGGCGCCGGGGGCGGCGCTGGAGGCGCCGCCAGGTGGGCCCAACGCCGATCCAAGAAATCCGCGCGGAGCTCGGAAAATGTATGTTCAGAGGTTCGTGTCCTTCTTAGGACAATATCACCACGTATCACATTGCGATCCAGCTGCGGGCGCGACAGGCGGGCCTACAAACTCAGGAATCCTGCACCACCTTCCGTGCCTGCTGCGCTCGGGCCGCCATCCAATCCGGCACTGGCACGTACCGCTAAGCCTTGGGTCGAAACGCGCGGCGCTCCAAATGCCGTAGTGGGCTGCCAACATGGCTCAGTCAGACACGGTCATACAAGTACGGTCGGGGCGGACGAAAAAGGGGGCCTAGCCAAGTAGGGGTTAGGGAGTCAACTGCGTGCAACAAGTCTGAGGCGGCCGTGTGGCTGGTTACGAAGCATGATCGACCCACGAATCCGGAATGGAATATAGAAATGTGAGGCATGGCAACGTTTTCAAGACACCTGGCTGGGCGACGAGCAATTGCAATGCTGAGTGTATCGATCTTTTTTCTCTCACAGGAATATTCGAATGTCTCGAGGAGAAAGGGCTTTCAACTGCATGAGTAGCAGCCTCCAGTGATGCCCGCTTTAAACACGGCGCACAGAACGCAATTTGTGACTACTGTATATTCAATGCGCCACATGCTGTGAGCGACGAAAGCTCCTGCTGATGCCCACGGGGGCAGCACGCGCTGCCGAACCAGGCGGTCAAGGACGCCGCTGCGTGGTCGAAGGCCAGGCAAGAGGGCGCTCTTGTTTACCACCAAGGGGAAGAGGGCAAGAGGGCAACAGGGACCGGTGCAAAAATGTGCACCACCATGGCAAACGACTAATTGGCAAGACTCTGGTTGAGAAATCCCTATGCGTAGAAGAGACTTGCAACATAATGAAGCTCGGCTGCACAAATTTTGGATCTCCTCATTGATACTACCTTTGGAGCAACTCATTCCTCAAACATGGTCGGCATATCATCTTGTTCATGTCTCCGGCCAAAACTGAAGATGCGAGGGCATCTGCCGTTGCGCTGCTCGCACATACCATAATACAAAAACCTTGAGAACGAGCTCTCCGTGTTACCGACAAAGAAATTACAAGCGCTCATGAGGCGGATGGACAACAACCATGACAACATGTCCCCAGAAGTGGCCGCCGAGTATCCAAAGTCGCTGCTTCCAATGGAGTCTTTATCTTTGTAGAAGTCTGACAAGCTGTTGAGCGGTGTGCTCGGGGGCACGGTATGGATGATGGCCCGTCGAGAACCCTTCGCCACCGCGATGATGTCAGCGTCGTCGGTCATCAGAAATATTAGCGGAAGTTTCTTGCTCCGAGAAGCGTCTGTCAGCTGAGGCTTGTCCTCCATCATCTTAAGCGCCACGTCTAAATAGTCGTCGAAGCTCTTATTGAAACCTCCAGCGATGGTATCGTGCTCTCGTATCCAGAACGGTGTGAGCTTGTCCCCGTGGCGGACATGGATCGCCGCGCAAGCGGGGCCTGTTCCCGACGCAGGCCACGCTTGGTTCTTGGAGCGCCACTCTGCTTCACGGCGGGCGATCTCGTTTCGTGTCCTCGCGTTCTGACGGAAGAAGAGCATCTGCCACATAACATGAAGGTCGCCGACACCAAGGCCGTCAAATGGCTTGGACAACCGGTGACGGAACGGCACAGCCATATCAACGTTACCATTCACCAAGCTCTTCCCCCAATGTGCAGTGTCCATCGTGCAGCTGGACGTCGGCAAGAAAAAGCATTCCTGCCTCGTCATGGGGGAGACTGTGCTATTTGTCATGGGGGATACGTCCACCTCCCCACAGAACGGACTGAAATACTCCGCGGGATGACTGTCCAGACGTGGATCAGACCACACAGGCAGAAAAGCAGTTCGTTTGTGGGAATCTCGAACCTCGCTGACCCACTGCTCAAAACCGAAATAGAACTCTTCTTGCGTGGCCTGCCCGACCCAGCCGCTGGAAGTCATGACGGTGGCGCGGCACCTGTTAGGATCTTTCGCATCGGCAGGGAACTGCAACGAGTCCAACGTGAGAAAATGGCGGAAGGCCTTGTCCGGCACGCGCAGAAGGACACACTTCGACTTCCGCCAATTCCCACTACAATGGCTGAACCTCCACTCCACGCGCGGGATCAGAAATTCGTCGATCGCTTCGCTTATCTTCTTGAGCGGCCCTGTTACCACCGTGCGCGTCACGTTGCCTGCGGTGGCAGCGCGCAACTGTCCAGCATAGTCGGGCTCGCCGTCGTGGGGCGAGTCTCCCAACCTCAGCGCCGCACAGAAGAGGTGGTGCGTCATCAGAAGCTGCAAGAGCAGAGCACAAGACAAACATGATGCTGGATGTCCGATGGCCGCCATCAGGCGGTGCTCTGCACGGATAGAATATGTATGCGGTGTGTGGTGCGATTCGGGGTGCGGACCCAACAACGCCTTGGGCCGGGATGGCTCGAGCACAATGGCTACGGAATGCTGAATGTATCGATCTTGATGTACCGTGCCCAAGACTGTGCTGTGCTGCGCCGTGCTGAATTGCGATGTGCAATGCCGCGCTTGTGCTCGATAACGTTGTGGATCGACTCTATTTTTGCATCCGAGTTCTGACCGAATTGACCTGTATCTTAAGCACGAGCTGCCTGACCACATAGCAGCTGCCCCAGAGCTAATTGAAGTGGAAACGTGCGGGACCGTCAATGCACTCGACCCCAAAGTCCGACTCAGCTCCGAAAAGGAACGAGGAGCACAATAGGGGATGCGCCCGGGGGCGTGTCAGGGACGTATCAAGGGACGTGCCCTGGACGTGTCAGGGCCTGCCACGCGACGTGCCAAAGCGAGTGCCACGGGGCGGCCAGAAGACGCCATGCCAAAAAACGTTGCAAGGGGCCCGCCACGTAACTAGCAGGGGAAAGGCTTGGGGACGAGCAAGAAAACGCGAAAGAGGACGAGCCAGGGAACGTGCCACGCCGAGTGCCGTGCTAGGGGGCGTGCCAGGGCACGTCAAGCCACAACGTCGCAAATGACGCGCCAGGGGACGCGCCAGCGCGCCAGAGGACGCCCCACGGACGGGCTGGATTGGACTGCGATGCGCTCTACTGCGATACGCGTTTCGCTCGAGGCCTCCTCAACTAATCCTCATGGGCGACCTGGACACGTGAAAACGAACGTCTCGCTCGAGACATCCTAAACACATCCTCATGTTAGACATCCGCCTGGGCGACCTGGACACGTGAAACCAAGCGCCTCACTAGAGAACGTTCTCAACACCTCCTCATGCTAGACACCTGCCTGGGCAACATGGACGCGTGAAAACTAGCATTTCGCTTGAACCATCCTACCCACATCTCCATATTAGACATCCGCCTGGGCGACCTGGACAGGCCAACACAAGCGTTTCGCCCAAGACCTCCTCATGTCCGCCTGGGCAACCTGGAGGCGTGAAACAAAGCGTCTCGCTCAAGACATCCTCAACGCATCTTCATGTTAGACATCCGCCTGGGCGATCTGGACACGAGAAACCAAGCGTTTCGCTTGAGACTGTCTCAACAGCTCCTCATGCCCGACATCCGCCTGGGCGACCTGGACACATGAAAGCAAGTGTCTAGCTCGAGAAATCCTTATCACATCCTCATGCTAGGAACCTGCCTGGGCGACCTGGACGTGTGAAAACAAACGTCTCGCTCGAGACATCCTCAACAAATCATCATGCTAGACATCTGCATGGGCAACCTGGAGGCGTGAAACCAAGCGTCTCGCTCGAGACCTCCTGGGCGACCTGGGCACGTGACAACGAGCATTTCACCCGAGACATCTTCTGAATTCTGGTCCCCAGGAGACGAACATTGCATAACACAGAACAAGCGTTTCGCTCGAGACATCCTGAAGAAATTATGCAAAACAAGCGTTTCGCTCGAGACATCCGCAACCACCGAACATGTTTACGTTACAATATGTATGATCAATCGGAATTTCAAGAACCACAGATGTTTCTCGGGACATCCTCAATGTTCTAATTCGCCGGCCCTCTTCGCCCCCGCTGTTTAGTGCCAAGAAAACGCAACGCCTGCCTTGCCTTGCGACCCTGGCGTGAATAGAGGCCGCCCTAGACAAATCGGGCGGATCACCCGAGATCCGCCCGGTCACCGTCAACGGTTGACTTCAAATTCTACGCCAACAGGGCGACTTTTCGGCTGAATACAGAACTCTCCACGAGGGTGCGCGTGCACGTGGGGTATTATTTACTGTTCACTCTAGACAACTCGGGCGGGTCATCTGAAATCCGATTGGTCACCTGTAAAGGTTCACTATTGTTTCCATGCCTACACAGCGATTTTTCGTTTATGAACAATGCAGAACTCTCTGCACGCGGGAACGCGCGCGCGTGAAGATATGGTGTGTTGACCTCAATAGACAAGTCAGATGGGTCACCCGAAATCCGCTCGGTCACCGTTGAGGGTTCACTTTAGGTTCCAGGCCAGCAGGGCGCCTTGTGCAGTGTGCTGACAGGGCTAGTTTCCTATGCTGCTGACAATACAGGACTCTCCACGCGGGTACGCGGGCGGGCGCGCGGAGAATTCTGTCCTCTGTACTGTCCGCACTAGACAGGTCAGGCGGGTCACAGGAAATCCACTCGGTCACCGCTAAGGATTCACTCGAGTTTCCATGTCAGCATGGCTACTCTACTTTCTTGTAGGCAATACAAAACTCTCAACGCGGTTATGCGGGCACGCGTGCGCGGAGGGAGGGAAGGGGAGGAAGGGACGGGGGAACGTCAGCGCCTACCACGGAAGTGTGCGATATGGCTCCAGTTGGAGATTTAAACATGATCGGCCCACGAACCCAGAAAGGAATATAGAAATGTGAAGCATGGCAACGTTTTCAAGACACCTGATTGGGCGACGGGCAACTGCAATGCTGAATGTATCGATCTTGGTGGACCGTGCCCAAGACTGTGCTGTGCTGCGCCGTGCTGAATTGCGATGTGCACTGTCGCAATTGGGCTCGATAACGTTGTGGATCGACTCTTTTTTGCATGCGAGTCCTAGCCGAAGTGATCTGGATCTGACACTCGAGCTGCCTGACCACATAGTACCCACCCCAGAGCTAGTTGAAGTGGCAACGAGGAGGACGTTCAAACAACTCGACATCAAAATCCAACTCAGCTCCGAAAAGGAACGACACGACACGGGGCACAGGCTCACGGACGCGCCACAGGATGTGCAAGGGGCCAAATAGGGGATGCGCCAGGGGACGTGTCAGGGGACGCATCAGGGGACGTGCCCTGGACGTGTCAGGGACCTGCCACGTGATGTGCCAAAGCGAATGCCATGGGGCGGCCAGAGGACGTCATGCCAAAGGATGGGCCCGCCACGGAACGGGCAAGGGAAACGCCTGTGGACGAGCAAGGAAATGCGACAGAGGACGGGCTAGGAACGTGCCACGCCGAGTGGCGTGTTAGGGGACGTGCCAGGACACGTCACGCCTGAACGTCGCAATGGACGCGCCAGGGGGCGCGCCAAGGGACGCCCCACGGAGGGGCGGGGTTGGACTGCGACGCACTCTACTGCGACACGCGTTTTTGCTAGAGACAACCTCAACACATAATCATGTTAGACATCCGCCTGGGCGACCTGGGCACGAGAAACCAAGCGCCTCGCAAGAGAACGTTCTCAACACCTCCTTATGCTAGACATCTGCCTGAGCGACCTGGACACGTGAAACCAAGCGTCTATCTCGAGACATCCTCAACAACTCCTCAAGCTGGACATCCGCCTGGGCGACCTGGACACGAGAAGCCAAGCGTTTCGCTCAACGCATCCTCAACAAATCCTCATGCTAGACATCTGCATGGGCGACCTGGACACGTGAAACCAAGCACCTCTCGAGAGAGGCATCCTCAACAAATCCTCATGCTAGACATCTGCCTGGACGACCTGGACACTCGAAAACGAGCGGTTCGCTCGAGATATCCTCCGAACATATTCCTGATGCTAGACATCTGCGTGGGCGACCTGGACAGGTGAACACATACGTTTCGCGAAAAACATCCTCAACACAACCTCATGCTAGACATCCGCCTGGGCGACCAGGACACGTGAAAGCAAGCGTCTCGCTCGAGGCATCCTCAACGAATCCTCATGTTAGACATCCGCCTGGGCGATCTTGACACGTGAAAGCAAGCGCCTCGCAAGAGAACGTTCTCAACACCTCCTTATGCTAGACATCTGCCTGAGCGACCTGGACACGTGAAACCAAGTGTCTATCTCGAGACATCCTCAACAACTCCTCAAGCTGGACATCCGCCTGGGCGACCTGGACACGAGAAGCCAAGCGTTTTGCTCAACACATTCTCAACAAATCCTCATGCTAGACATCTGCATGGGCGACCTGGACACGTGAAAACAAGCATCTCTCGAGAGAGACATCCTCAACAAATCCTCATGCTAGACATCTGCCTGGACGACCTGGACGCGTGAAAACAAGCGTCTCGCTGCAGACTTCCTCAACACATCCTGATGCTAGACATCTGCCTGGGCAACCTGGAGGCGTGAAACCAAGCGTCTCGCTCAAAACATCTCTGAAGTCAAGTCCCCAGGAGAGGAACAAACTATAGCATAAAGCCAACGTTTCGCTCAAGACATCCTCAACATATTATGCAAACCAAGCATTTCGCTCAAGACATCCACAACAAACAACAATGCTTACTTCACCGTGTGCTTTATCAATCGGAATTTCAAAAAACCAGCGCTTGGCTAGGGACGTCCTCAAAATTTACTCCACCGACCCTCTTCGATCTCGTTATTTAGCAAGGAAAGAATCCGCCAGCCCTCTTCGAACTTGGCACCGGGGACAAAATACCATACTAAAAGGGAACCCTGGGACCACGCCCTTTCCGGGAAAAGTGTTTGCCCCAGATATTATGCTGTGATTTAGCCCGAAGATCTTCAGATTGCTCACCCTGGAAATTGTTGAGACTTTGGGAGTGCTGGTCGACCATCGGGTGGGTGCACGATCAGTGATGATAATCGTGCACCCACCCGCCCGAGCCCCCCGAGCATGGCGAGCGATGATGAGCCCGGCCTACTCCAGCCAGCGCTGAAGAAGCACAAGGCCTCCAAGCCCGACGCGCCCAAGCAAGTGCAGTTCCACGCATTCAAGACCGTCGCTACGTTGCTGCGCCCAGAGGGGGGTGAGCCGTGGAGGAAGCTGCACATAAAACAACGGGTTGACGAGGGCGGCGTCTTCTACCCGGGGCACCGGGCCAAGCTTGCGCAACATAAAAATCTGAAGGCCCACTTCTTGAGGCGCCACGTGAAGAAGGGGTGCGCGCGCGGGAAGGGCAGCGATGTGAGGGGCAGTGCGTGCTTTTATTGTAGCCCTGTGCACTCGGCGGCCATGCTGAAAAATCACCAGCGGGAGGAGGGTGATCTCGGAATGAAGCTCGACATCAACTTATGCAGCGCCCAGTGCAGGGCTTTGGACTTGCGGGGCATG